GCATAAAGAAGCCAAGGAAAGATGGAAAAATCCCCAAAAGGCATCAAATTACAGATTAGACATTCTTATAATATGTCAACAAAAGTTAGATTTTATTTCCATCATTTACACTTTCAAAATAACAGAAAACAAAAAAAATGGTGTCTGCAAAAGTTTGGGCACCCTGCAGAGTTAATATCTTGTACTGCCCCCTTTGGCAAGTATCACAGCTTGTAAACGCTTTTTGTAGCCAGTCAAGAGTCTTTCAATTCTTGTTTGAGGTATCTTTGCCCATTCTTCCTTACAAAAGTCTTCCAGTTCTTTGAGATTTCTGGGCTGTCTGTCACGCACTGCTCTTTTAAGGTCTATCCATAGATTTTCAATTATGTTGAGGTCAGGATATTGTGAAGGCCATGGCCAAACCTTCAGTTTACGCCTCTTGATGTAATCCCCTGTGGATTTCGAGGTGTGTTTAGGATCATTATCCATTTGTATAAGCCATCCTCTCTTTAACTTCAGCTTTTTCACAGATGGCATCAAGTTACCATCCAAAATTTGCTGAAATTTTATTGAATCCATTTTTCCTTCTACTCGTGAGATGTTCCCTGTGCCACTGGATGCAACACAACCCCAAAGCATGATTGATCCAACCCCATGCTTAACAGTTGGACAGAGGTTCTTTTCATTAAATTCTGTGCCCCTTCTTCTCCAAACGTACCTTTGCTCATTCCGGCCAAAAAGTTCAATTTTAACCTCATCGGTCCACAGAACTTGTTTCCAAAATGCATCAGGCTTGTCTATATGTTCATTTACAAGTTCAAACGATGATTTTTGTGGTGAGGACGTAGAAGAGGTTTTCTTCTGATGACTCTTCCATGAAGACCATATTTGTACAAGTATCTCTTTATAGTGGAATAGTGTACCACAACTCCAGTGTCTGCCAGATCTTTCTGGAGGGATCGTGCAGTCAAACGTGGGTTTTGAATTGTTGTTCTCACAATCCTGCGAGCTGTTCTGTCTGATATTTTTCTTGGTCTTCCAGATCTTGCTTTACCTTCCACTGTTCCTGATGACTGCCATTTCTTAATTACATTCCGAACAGAGGATATTGACATCTGAAAACGCTTTGCTATCTTCTTATAGCCTTCTCCAGCTTTGTGAGCATCAACTATTTTCAGTTTCAGTTTTCTAGACAACTGCTTAGAAGAACCCATGGTGCTGATTGTTGGGGCAAGGTCAGATGAGTCGGGGCATTTAAAACCTTTGAGATTGACATCATCTGGTCTTCCCAGACGATGATTGAGAACAATCCATGACACTGGCAGGTCTCAGCTTTGCAAAGGGGGCAGTGCATGCTATAAATTCTGCAGGGTGGCCAAACTTTTGCAGACGCCATTTTTTTTGTTTTCTGTTATTTTGAAAGTGTAAATGATGGAAATAAAATCTAACTTTTGTTGACATATTATAAGAATGTCTAATCTGTAATTTGATGCCTTTTGGGGATTTTTCCATCTTTCCTTGGCTTCTTTATGCACATTAATACAAATTTTTAGCTGAGGTGCCCAAACGTTCGATCCCCACTGTACATAGATGCCATGTTTTGATCGTATCATAACAACAGCAAAAATCTCACTAGGCATAACTAGCTTGTTTATTTGTGATTTCTTGTTTTTATATAAGTACATTCGATAAAATCCTTATGATTTTCTTTCAGCTGTTAAACTGCTAGTGATCCATATGTAAAGTAAACCCAAGCTATTGACATCTTTTGAAGGCATACTTGTGCCTATTAGGGCTGGTGATGATGATTGATGATGATGTCATTCTAGCAGAAGTAGTACAGGGGGCATTTTGAAAGAGAAGCGTGTTGATTTAAAAACACAAACATGCATACTCACCTTGATCAATGCGATGCTGCAGCTGTCCCTCGATCGAAGATCACTGATTGCTCAGTTCTCAGGTCTTCTCTGATCACAGAACAGTGACTGTCAGTTCTCAAGTCCACTCTGAGCACTGAAAGGCGACTGTTATTCACTGCTCTATGCTCAGAATAAACCCGAGAACTGAGCAATCAGCTGTCTTTGATCACTCGATATAGACAAAGAGTTGCTGCAGCCATCTAGGTGAGTTACGTAGGTTTGTTTTTTGTTTTTTTAAGTTCCCACACTTCTCCTTTAAAACATGCAGGAATTGCATGCAGGTAAGGTGCAGGTGAAGATTAGATTGCCTCTTAGGAGATCAGAAAGGACTTTTTTTCCCCTGCTGGAGCGAATTGGATCATGCTTTTTTGAGGATCAACTGTGGGTATAGGATTGTGTATTTGGAAGTTTTCTATTTGTGTGTGTGATTTTTCTTTTTTTTTTCCTCTGTGGGATGACGTGGATGGACTTGTGTTTTTTTGTGACCTATGCAACTGTGTATGACCGAATGTCACTCATGCTGAGACTTTGAATCTTCAAACTGGTGAGGAGAGGCCTTCAATGTTTCTAGACATTGATGTGTGATACTCACTAAATATCAGTCATTTAGCTCTAAGCAGTCATAACATACTGCCTGCTTCCATTTGGAATTTCATTGCCAGGTGCTGAAATTGTATGCCAATCTTTTCTGTCTTTGGAAATGTTTGGACCAGGATGGGAAAGTGGTGGAAACGTGGAATGGGGCGCCAACTCTAATTCCATTAAATTAGTTGTTCATCCAGAACTACAAATAATGTTTGTATAGAGCACACTGAGTAGTCCAGAAATAAATGTGCTCTAGATGGGACTCCTGAAGTCCAGAAAAAAGCAGGGGTGCAGTAGTTACTTATTCATCCTCTACCCACCTACCAGTATAGAATTTCTGTACTAAATCATATTTTTATGACCTACTGATATGCTTGAATGTACCTATTTTCACATGTGTTCTCCAGATTCCCTTTAGTGCTTGCCATATATTGAATGTCTGGGCAATTGGTCATGTGATCCTGCTGCAGGAGAAGGCATATGACTAGTGCCTTGGCCTTTACACATGTGGCCAGTGCTAAAGAGAGCCTAGAGTGGCATTTATTTCCAGAAACGTAAGTATTTCGGCCTTTGTATTATTGATGTTTATTTCTCTAGATCATTATGTATTGAGGTCTGATTTAAAGCCCAACTCCAGGATTTTTTACAAAATCCACCCTTGTAGAGCTCCCCTGCAGTGCAAGGGTTAATTGTACTATATGTCTAGCAGATTGGATGCCTTACTCCAGCTGGCTCTAGTGTTCTCCTCCAGTCTGTCGGCAGAGCCTTAGGGTCATCACATACAACACAGGGACTTTAAACATTTAGGAGGCTGGAGTGTGAGTGGAGCCAGATGAGGGGGACCTGTCAAAACACTGGAGGGAGCCTGCTGGCGTGAGGAATAAGGTAAGTATTTGGCGATTGGCAGTTGGATTTTTACATTTTCCTGAAGTGCAACTCTAATGCTCTGAGCACAAGTCAAAAACAAAAAGCTGTTGCTCATACAAGCTCTGATGTCAGAAGTAATCTAACTCATTTCTCACTTATGTTTTTCAGGGTCCTCTCAGAAAGACCCAACCAAAAAGTTTTTAATTTACATTTTGTTTTTATACTGTAAAGCTGATTTCCAGGCAAACAGCTAACAAACACAAATAAAATGCATATACTGTAACAGCTTTTTATGTCAAAGGATTTGCATTTCAATAGTTTTATCTCCCTACACCCAGACTGCTGACTAGATTGAAAAAAGCAGCAGCAGACTGATGAGGTTATCTCTCTGCTCACTGTGCACATTCGTCTGGACAACATAGATAACGTGTCATCAAATTTGCACTGATTGGCTCCTAACCCTGCCTCTACCTTTCCAAGACTGAATGCTGCTGTACAAGGGATTGCAAAAGGCTGATTTTAAATCAAATTCAGTTACGCAATTTTTAATAAAATATAAATGAAATTATTCATGAATGGATACATAATTGCATTATAGTGTGTCTTTTATATACTGTATTCCTGGAGTTCAGCCTTAAGCATTCTGCATATATTTTTTTTTCACTTATGTTTTTTCATATCTTCTGTCAATTTACAGTTAGCAATGTTCCCGCTAGTTTTAATTAAATTATTTCTTTTGTATATAAGGATTCCAAATGACAAGAAACCATGACATATGCTTGCTAAATTATGTAGAAAAAAATAAAAGTTGTAGATGTATTTTAAGTACCAACATATGCAGTCAAACATTTTATTAATTATATCAGTCCCTCATAGTGGAGCTTTCAGGTTATTTGCTATCCCAGGTGCACAAAATCATACATAGTGTCATGGGCAGAAACCAATTAATCTGTCAGTTTGTCTTTGAACTTTTGAATGTAAACTGAGTACCCTGTGTAAACCTATACAGACACAATATTAAAGTCTCTGGCTCAGCTCACACAGGTGGAGCCCAGATTTGGTATGACATCCAAAGCCCTAGTACTGCCATACATATATAGAGGATTGTCATTATCTGATTTGAATAGAGTAATATGTACTTTAAGGCCCTGTTCAGACTGACCTCTGCCAAACTCCCCTAAAATATCTTGCCTGATAAACGATACTGAACTGAGTATACACAATGTAATGGTAATGGTGTTGAAGCCCCAAGAATAGCATGCAGTGTTTTGCCACTAACTCGCTAATTACGCACAATACATCGGTTCCTTCTCATGTTTTGAGCTCAGATGGAAGCCTGCCTCAATAACAACTGTATCGGATGTTCTTCTGCATCCAGTGCATGTTTAAATATAAAGAAAGAAGGCTTCTTAAACATTTTCAATTTCATATCTAGAAGACAATAGTTGCACCCAATTGATAAGGATTTATAAAAACAGTAAGATTCTGTGCTAATAACTATGATTTCTCTTTTTGATTTACAGAGTGTCAGACAAACTTAACCTGAAGCAGATGCCACAGAACATTTTTGAGATAAACAGCACAGATTCCAATATCGTCTATGCAGAGAATGGCTCATTGATATCACTAAGTCAACTGGACTCTGCCTTCTTTCAGTTCAGGAAACGTTTGGCAAATGTCACTTTACAGTTTGGAGGAAGCAACACATTTCTTTCTGACGTTTCCAAAAACTACTCGAAAACATATACTTCTGATGGCCACCACACGCACTGGTTCATCTTTTGTGGGCGAGTTCTTTAACCAGCAAGGCGATATATTTTATTTGTTTGAACCTCTGTGGCATATTGAAAGAACCGTGACATTTGAATCCATGGGAGCCAATGCAGTAGGTTCAGCAATTGTGTACAGGGATGTTCTTCATCAGCTTCTTTTGTGTGATCTTTACACCTTAGAGAACTTTATCTCCCCAACTCCTGAACACCATCTTACTAGGTTTATGTTCCGTAGGGGCTCAAGCAAGTCCTTATGTGAAGATCCAGTGTGCACCCCGTTTGTTAAAAAAGCCTCGGAGAAATACCATTGTAAGAATCGCCGGTGTGGACCCCTAAATATGACACTGGCAATGGAGTCATGCTTGAATAAAGATCATGTGGCTATTAAAGCAGTACGAATTAGACAGTTGGCATTCCTGAAAACTCTTGTAGAAGATCCTCGTCTTGATATGCGAATTATACAACTTGTGCGTGACCCCAGAGCTGTTTTGGCATCACGCATGGTAGCTTTCTCTGGAAAGTATGAATCATGGAAAAAATGGGCTTTGGAAGGAGCTTCCCCCATACCTGAAGATGAAGTTCTAAAACTGAAGGGTAATTGTGATAACATTCGTTTATCTGCAGAACTAGGCTTGAGACAACCCAAGTGGCTTCGAGGACGGTATATGCTGATACGATATGAAGATATAGCAAGATTTCCTCTTCAAAAGGCCAAAGAAATGTACAAGTTTGCTGAAATCACACTTACACCACAAGTGGAAGAATGGATTATCAAAAACACACAAGCTTCCCATGGCCATAGTGGCGTATATTCCACCCAAAAGAACTCCTCAGAACAGTTTGAAAAGTGGCGTTTCAGCATACCTTTCAAATTAGCCCAGGTAGTACAGGAAGTCTGTGAACCTGCTATGAGGTTGTTTGGCTACAAATTGGCAAGTGACCTAAAGACACTTACAAACAGATCTATCAGTTTGCTTGAAGACAGGGTTAACTTTTGGGTAACGTAATATACTCCTATTTAACTTATTTAAATGTTGGGAATAAACTGCCATTGAACTTAGTGCTTGAAACTGAGGGGGGCAGATGGGAGGGGGGGGCAATTTGCACCTGCTGAGCCGCTATGTGCCATCTAAAAGCCTGTGTGCATTTTTTGTGAATTGCTTCCTAAATTAAGAAGCTTTTCTTTCTTAATGCAATATCAGGGGAAGATGCTGAAGGCTGATTTTCTGGATTGGCTTTAGCAGTGGATGATTCCTGCTGATGTATAGAGAACTGCCTGGAAGAAGAGATTTCTTTTTCTGTCCCCAGAGCAGGCCAATCTGTGAAGCTAAATCCAAGGTTTTTTTCTGCACTAAAGAAACACACCCAAAGAGTTCCAGGACTCTGCAGACCTAAAATTGCTATGTTTAGCAGCTTTTCAGAATGTCCCAATCATCTAAACTTTACATACAAGCAACCTTTCAACTATTCAAAATGCCCTTTTGGTTGAAGGAAAAATAGATTTTTGGTAACTCTTTACTTGGGAAGAGAGCTTTTGGAAATATTTCTAGTAGATGTGTCCTGGATGTTATACTGACATATAAATGCAGTGCATTTGATTGTGAATGAACTTATGCACCCAGAACTTGGCTGCACTTGAAAAATATAACAGATGAATTTCTTTAGGCCAGCTTTCTCAGCAAATGCAATTTCACACCTAGCTTCTGTACTTTTTTATGTGTCTTGTTTCCTTGAAGTTCTAACATACAACGTTAGTAGAGGTTCTGCATGTGAAAACAAATAATACTTTGCACCAGAGGAAGTCAATTGGCACCACCTGTTTCTCACTCTGGTTTATTCTAACACACCATAAAGTGTATACAGATCCCTCACCTGTCTCTTCTGTTCCCTAAGGTCTGTAATGAATTAATGAATGCCTTTCAATAGGACTGCTTAGAGCACAGGGCAGAGGGCAGCTGGTCTTGTCCAAGCATTTATAGTTAGTTCAATACGGTGATTAAATTATAATTTAATTATTTTATGAAGGAGGTTTTTGTTATATTAGGCTCATTAAGGTCTTCATACTAGTACACCACCGGCATACCAACTTGGGTCAACACATGTTGCAGTGGGTACTACAGGACCAGACAAAGGAAAGGAGCCAAAGCCAAGGGTTTTCTTTCTGGTAGCATAAATGTTTTACATTACATACTATTGTCTTACCTGTTCCAGTGACCACAAACATACTAAAATGTCTTTGACATTCAGTTCCATCAAGAACTGAGGACCCATGATTGCAGTCTTTTTTCTTGTCCCTCCATTTGGTTGTATGTGAATAAATGTGTAGATTAAGGATTCAATTAAGCATTCACAATTAAAATATTGGGGTTTGTAAAATTTAAGTAACTATTGAATGAGTTGGTTAAAGGTGCACTTGTTCTAAATATGAGTCAGATCTGGCAAAAACATGTTGTGCCGTATTCAGCATGGCAAACCTTGTTTTTAAAAAGCGATAGACACAAAAATCAGCGCTAATTGTTCATGTTTCCTTAGCTGGAATCTCCACTGAGTTTAACACATATTTGTTCTAATAAATAATAGATACACTATAAAAAAGGGGACACTTTGTCAAAAACAGCCTCTGTTTTCTCAGTATTTTCTTGGACAATGTATAGTGTACTTTCCATCAAAAGCAGGTAGCCAGAGAAAGGCTTGTTTGACAAGGAGTTTCTCAGTATAAAAGGTACTTTCCACATAGCCATTGCTTCTTGTTCCATTGCATGGAATAACTCTACAAGATTTTACTGTTATACAAATATATCCAGTGTTACAAATATGTAACCAGAAGAGTGAGGATAGTTCTCAACATGTCAAAACAATACAAATATTATGTATGCAAACACTTACATCAATCAGGTACAACCATGTAATGTGCAATAAATTTCTGTATTTTCCTCAAATATCCAGGTATCCTAAAAAAATCTTTTAGGCTCCATGTACACTAGCGTTATAGGTTTGATAATAAGTAATAATAAACACTTTGATTATTTTAAAGATTGACAGTTATATTTGAGCATAATTGGGGTGGTACCGTGAAAGTCCAATTTCTGTCCTTTTGGTTGCCTGGTTAACTGATTAAACTGGTAGTAAACTCTCTATCTTAACTTGTACCTACAAGTAAGCTTACAGTCAGGCTTACCTGTACCTACAATCAGGGATTTTTTCTCAGAGAATAGGTTGAGGAGCTCCCCCTTCTTAGTCACTTCTTCTCTCTACCCCTATCTCCCCACCCACCTTTGAGCACTGTCCCTTGGTTCCACCCCCTACCCACCTTCCATTACTGCTCCTTTTAGAATAGAGCAGAGTATTATTTTGTGTTACTAATTAATTTGTTAATGATAACAAAAAAAAAACAGTAAAATAGATCCCCCCACCCCTTGCCATGACTACAATGAATATTTCCTAATTGTGCATGCACAGAGATGGTCAGCATTCAGGGCACACAGTATGCAGTGGAATGCAGAGCAGCATGCCCTGGCTCCTGCATACACGTGCAGGAGTAATATTATCGCATTCAAACAGCCAAAATACGCAAACTCCGAAGGAAGTCTGTGGGAAGATGGAAGCCCAGATAGCGGTGACAGTGCGCTGCTGTAAGGCTTTGTTTGAAAGATAAGTATGTCATAATGTGCTAGTATGTGGTGCATACTAGCACATTATGGCATAAACCTCCAGGGGACCCATTTTTTCTTGTTTGCTACCGCTTTAAGGGATTATGGTACTTGATTAGATCTAATCAACTCTCATATATAGTTATCTTTCTCCAAGTGTAGTATGGCAGAGTAGGTAAGAGGCACAATTTTTCTTTTGGATACTTTTAATATTCTGTTTTTGAAAATTCTTAATCTAAAATGTAGACAAAAGCTGATCTGCTTTATTGCATCTGGCTAAATAGAGGAGAAAAGACAAAAATGTTCTGTCATTGCATTTTCATGTGACTAAGTGGACAGCTGATTCAGTGTTTTGGCTATTAGATAAAAATGGCTTAATTTAGTAAATGTGCTATAAAGATGTTATATAATTTAACATCCAGTGAGAATAGATTTATAATGTAGAGTGAAATACAGAATATAAAAAGTGTAAAGGTATATGATTTGGGGTTCCCAGCTTTTCTTTAGGAAAATACAGAACAGTGGAAAGATGATCATTGGTTCATAGCGTTGTATTTTTAAAATAAGTTTCGGTAAACCTGTACACTATTGCTGATGTATTAATTGTTTGGGGACTGTAAGTTAAAAGAAAAGGCAGGAATGGGTGAATGAGTGACAAAGATGAGGATATGATGGGAACAAGATAATTCAAGTAACAGGCATTCCTACTACAAGGGACAGTTGGCCCAAAAATACAATTCCAAGTTTTTTGTATGTATATTCTGAAATTTTGAATGTAAACAAACAGCTTTAAAATCTACATTAGAGTGATGGGGATTGGTTATACACAGAATAGAACTACTGGAAGTCAGATATGCGGATCAGATAGTTAAGAGTACAGATAGGTAATTTCTTTTTAAACCCCACCCCATTGCATATAATGCACATTTCCTTTCTGGTGAAGCTTGGAAGCTATTTTGATAACTTCCCTGATAAATGTCTCTTTATGTTCTTTCCCAGCAAGCCTTGCTGAGGTCATTCCTGGCAGTGAGCATGCCCCTGATTAAGAGAGAGGCCTGTATATACATTGCTTCATTCAGGTTCACACTTCTGTACATGCCATAAATTTACCATCAAGATAGTTTTCACTGTGTTTGACTCCTCAAGGGCACTATAATGCCCTCTGTGTATTCCTGATACCAAACGTCCCTTAAGACCTTTACAGCTCTGAATAAGGACAGAGGTAGCACAGCGCAGTTCTGTTTCCATGAATTACTAAGCGTTAAGGTGCAAATCTGAACCTTGTCTTTTCTTCGTGTATAATTTTGTCAAGATCATACTGTTACAGCATAGTTCTAACATTCATCGCATAGGTGTTACACTCTGTACATTACACTAATGGTGTGTCCTTAAAAAACCCGGACAAGTAGGGACAACCTATAAATTTCTCTTTACATTTATGTTGGAGAGATGATATTTGGAGCCGCTCTCGGTAACCACTTTCTCCTACACTAATTTGCAGCAATAACTGGATGATTCAGATCCAGCACCCTTTAGCTCTTTACTCTACAAACACAAGCATTAAAATGCCATGCATTTTTAAAAAATACATCAGAAATCCAGGCTTAAATGTAGCAACCATTTATCGTATGCTTTTTCTGTGTCTAATAATTACTAATTACTGTTTATTCTAATGGCTTTTTATGCCTATGACAACATAGTGGTTTCTGTGATAAAGTAACCAACAGACATATGTATGTCTCAGAATGAAAGTTAACTGTTGATGGCTGCCAGTTGAGATGGCATTATGCATCTATTTTAATTCATTTTAGCTTTGGTTTAGAACAGTGCTCTCCAAACTACATCCCGGGGGCCAGATGGGGCCCCTTGCTTGACTCTACCCAGCCCTTGGACACTATTCCTCCAACTGACACCGGTGATGAGGCGCCATTCCTCCCACTGACAGCATTATTGGGGCACTATTCCTCCTGCTAAAATGAATGATGGGGCAGTGTTTACTGTAACTGATGCCAAGACATTTTCGACTCACACTGGCCACAGTCCGGCCTCCCTAAATCCTGAAGGACAGTAAACTGGCCCTTTGTTTAAAAAGTTTGAAGACCCCTGGTTTAGAAGATAGACTTTTTATAGTCTGTTCTTCATTTACTTGTTTAATAAAACTTTTTTTTGTGAAGCCACATGGGAAATCCAAATCCAGGCCCCCTACTTTTGTGCACGGCTTGTTAGTCAAGTATGTAGCAATAGCTATATGAAGTAAAAAGGCCCTCCAACAAGATATCTATTTTGCTTGCTGCTTTTTGATTAAGCCT